TTCTCCTTCAGGGAATTCATCTATTTTCTGGCCTTGAACTACTGGAAAATTTCTATAAAATAAAGCTTATAACTACAAGCAAAGCATGGCTTTAAAATATATGTACAATACTTTCTTTGTCTGCTCTGAAGGGTGTTTGTGAGGGAGGGCACAGTGGCTGGCCGGATGCCTTTGTGGGGCTCTGGGACCAGGCAATTAGGATAATTCTAACCTGCTCTACTTCCTAGATATGTGGCCTTGGGCAAGTTACTTAACCTTAAGCCTAAATTCCTGATCTGTAAAAGAGTGATAATAAAGGTATGTGTCTTAGTCATAGAGCTGTTGTGAGGATTAATGAAATAATGGCAAAAGCACTTAGTGACTCTGGTTCTTTAAGAGTTAGCAATAAGTGCTAGTTGTAATATTAATTATTAGTATTCACATCATTAGCAAGATGAGGCAATTTGGGTGAAAGTGATTTGAGACCTATGAAGTGTTATGAAATGTAAAATATTATTATTGTGTATACTGTTGAGGAATGAACTCTAAAGAGCATGGTGGAAAGAACAGAGAACAGGAAATCAGGAAAGCTAGATCCTAATGGTACCATGTCACTAACCAGCAGTGTAACCCTGGGCAAGTCTTTCTCTGAGCCTGCTTTTTTCTCACTGGAAAATGAGGCCATTTGTTTGATTATCTTGAAGATCCATCCCAGCTCTGGAATTCTATGATTCCATGGGCAAATAGCCTACATAGCAAATTTTACACAGTTCTTGGACTAGAGTACAAGGTCAATATGAGTTAAATATATCAATGGTTGAAGCATCTGTCTGAGGTCAATAAAAGATAATCCCACCTGCAACAACCAAGAGAGCAATCTAGGGAAATTCAATGAAAAGGCAAGATACTCCTACATGCCTCAGGAATCCTGGACATCATTGTAGTAGAAGATAACAACTTATAACTATAATGGCAATACTGAACTAGTCAGAAAAAAGACCAGATTATGCCTAGTACCTGTATACTAAGACAGGAAAGTGGGTGCAAGAACCCCTCATAGTTTTGGATTTGTGGTTTTGAAAAGTTGTGGTGCACTGGCAGCTCTCCCTGTACAATTTGTTGGGCTCTTTGATTTCTACCTGCCTAATGCTTACTACAAAGAGCCCTGGTGGTGCAGTGGTTAAGTGTCTGGCTGCTAGCCACAAGGTCGGTGGTTCGAACCCATCATCTGCTCCACAGGAGAAAGATGTGGTAGTCTGCTTCCATAAAGAGTACAGCCTTGGAAACCCTATGGGGCCGTTCTACTCTGTACTATAGGGTCGCTATGAGTCAGAATCGACTTGATGGCAATGGGTTTGGTTTTGGTTTTAATGTTCACTGCTGAAGGGGCCCTGGTGGCACAATGGTTAAGTACTCAGCTGCTCACTGAAAGGACAGAAGTTCAAACCCACCAGTGCCTCTGTGGGAGAAAAGATCTGGTGATCTGGCCCTGTAAAGATTATAACCTGGAAAACCCTATGGGGCAGTTCTACTCAGTCCTATAGGGCCACTATGAGTCGGAATCAACTCGAGATGGTACACAACAACAACAACGTTTTTGCTACCACCTGTCAGTTTGTCATACTGTGGTGGCTTGTGTGTTGGTATGATGCTGGAAACTATGCCACTGGTATTTCAAATTCCAACAGGGTCATCCCTGGTGGACAGATTTCAGTGGAGCTTCCAGACTAAGACAGACTAGGAAAAAAGCTCTGGTGATCTACTTCCAAAAATTGGTCAATGTGATCTTACGGATCAAAAGAGCACATCGTCTAATACAGAGCTGGAAGGTGATCCCGCTGGGTTGGCTGTTGTTGTTAGTTGTCTTCAAGTCGATTCCGACTCATGGCGACCCCGTGTGTGTCAGAGTAGCACTGTACTCTGTAGAGTTTTCAAGGCTGTGACCTTTCAGAAGCAGATCACCAGGTCTGTATTCCGAGGTGCCTCTGGGTGGGTTCAAACTGCCAACCTTTCAGCTAGTAGTACAGCGCTTAATCACTTGCGTCACCCAGGGAATCCTCCTTGTTGGAAGGCACTCAAAATACACTGGCCACAACAATGAACTTGAGCATACCAATAATCGTGAAGATGTCGTAGGATTGGGCAGCATTTCGTTCTGTTGAATGGGGTCGCCTGCCATGAGTCTGAGCTGACTGGATGGGAACTAACAACAGCAAAAATGCTTACTGAGTACCTGCTATGTTCTAGACGCTGTGGTAAACTCTGGGGATACAATGGCTACTGAGACACAGTTTCTATTCTGAAGGAGCTGACAATCTCTTGGATAAAGCATTGTAACTGTGGGGGATACTTTCACATTTTCAGTATAGTCCTGTATGGTGCTTATATTGTTTATATATTGTCTGTTATTCTGTGAAAACATAGCTGTTGTGTGTTTAGTTTTGGCTTGTTTCTCCACCCTCAACCCTCTAGCAGCTTCTGGATGTTAAATATTACCTCTTCATGTGAGTTGTACCAGAAGGAAGAGTCATCTGTTTTTCTTTTACCTCCTAATGAGCCCTCAAGCTGGTTTGCAGGACAGCTATTGATTCTTCCCTTTTCTTACCAGAGGACTGATCAGAATTCGCTCCTTGTCTTAGTCTCCCCCAGTACTCTAGTTTTATTCTTTCTGTCCCTTCTTCCTACCCTAGTCCCAAATAAAACCAAATAACCAGGAAAAAAAAAAAAAAAAAAAAAACCCAACAAACTAGAAAGTGAGGTATGGTGGCAGTACTTCGATGGATAGGCTAAATATTTTTTTTGCTACTATAGCAACTACTATTAAACGGCTTGTCACTTACCTTTAAAGCTGTTTGGTAACGTGGAAGTTATTTTGCATGTAAGTGTTTAAAATCACCTTCAATTACTTAAGATACTTTTAGCTCCCTCCAAGATTCTTCTCAGAGACTTCTATTTTTTCCTTCAGACATTGTTATAAATATGCAATGCAGTATTGACAGATTTCCCCAAACTCACTGATTTTCATATTCCCTGAGAATGACAAGGCTATTATGACAACCACAGTAGAAACGCTTTCCATAAAAATGCTTAATTAAAAAGTAAAGTTTTGATGTGTAAAGATATTTTGAATTACCTGGAAAATTGATACTGGATAACTGAATGCTCATTCAACAATTCATTAGATAAACATGTATTACATGCCTAAAAGTGTCAGGCATTGTGCAAAGTACAACAAACATAAAGGAGATTAAGAAATGATTGCTGCTTCTGAGGAGCTCCATTAAAAATCGCTTACCTTATATGTTGTATAAATACTTAATATTTTACAAAACACTTCCCATGCAACAATTCATTTCATCCTCAGAGCAATCAATACTGGCTCCATGCTTCATAACCTTGAGATTTCTTGTTGCTCACTATTATTTGCCAAACAGAATGTTCATTTTGTTGATGCTAATATTAATACTTCTCCATTATCCCTAGTTGGATTTTATGTGCCTAATAACTAACAGCTTACAAAGTGCTTTCATGTCTCATTGGAAAGACTTGAAGTTTTCTCACCTTCTCACCTGCTCACCTTCTAGGCCTGTCTCCTCTTTGGCCTGAGTTTTCCCTAGGGGTGGCCTAAAACGACTTCTCAGTTCCCTGTGAGTTATATTAAAATCACATTGACCTCTACTACATATCCATGATGGGGACTTGGTTCTTGGATCTTGGATCCCTTGCCCATCAAAGCCTTTAGGCTATAATCTCAGAACTTCATTCTTACCTCATTTTCTGTCTCCATTTTCCTTTTGGAGCCCTGGCGGCACAGTGGTTAAAGAGTTCAGCTGCTAACTAAAAGGTTGGCAGTTTGAATCCACCAGCCGTTCCTTAGAAACCCTATGGGGCAGTTCTTCTCTGTCCTGTAGGGTCACTATGAGTTGGAATCGACTCTTTGGCAATGGTTTTTTTTTTTTTTTTTAAATGGGTTATTTTCCCTTTATTCCACTCCTGACTGTGACTTCCAAGTCATTTGCTATCTTTGGAATATTTTTTCGTCAAAAAATAGAAACACAGAAATTAGGATCATCCCAATGCTTTCACTTTACAAAGGAGGAAACTGAGGCCCAGAGCTATCAAATTTTAATGCCAAGGCAACACAAGTAGGTGGTAGAGCTGGGACTTGAACCTGAGATACTGTACTTTGACCAGAGGTCTTTCTACATCATACTGTCTTTAAAAGCTACCTGCCAAATGAAACATTCTCCAGTGTTTCTCTTATACTGCTAATATATAGCTATTTGATTACTGTTGCAACAGAGATCTATCCAGTTTTATAATACTTCACAGATTATATTACATTCTTCCAGAGTATGGCCATTCACATAGGAATTATGTGGTCATTCAATCAACAAACATTTACTGATCACCTACTATATGCCAGGCATGTAGTACTGGGGAACAAAAAGACTGCAAGGTTTTGGCCTGACTTCAATTGGAAATATTCTTCGGATTTGCTAATGTAGTGTAGAATCATTCAACACCTAATTATTAGCGGTTACTAATAGTTTTAGTGTAAAAGGCCCTGTAAGAAAATTAATAACAAGAAGTGAACTCTAGCAAAGTGAATACACAGACATTAAAGCCTTTACTTATATGCGTTTAGGATTTCACACGGGCAGATGACCCAAGAATTGTTATTTAAATGTCGGTTTTAAAAGTCTCCCAAATTTGCTAAACAAAACAAAACAAAACGCCAACGAAGGTTAAACCTCAGTTATCTGTTTCCTTTTTTACTAGTTTTCCCTCCAGCAGACTGCATCTCGAGGGAAGCCTGGGACTAGGCAACTCGGAGGCCCCGCGGTCCTGGTATTTCGCCCAGGCTCCCGCTGGGGTAACAATGCGTACTGCGAGCGGCGCCGCCCCTACAGTGCCGCCATCCCGGGCGCCGTCGCCCCGCCTAGCTTGGCGCGCGGCTGTTGCGCGGGGCCGCCGGCCGGGCGCATATATTCTGGGCGCCTCTCGGACTCTTCCGCTCTCCTCGGGAACAGTGGTGTCGTGGTTGCTGCTGTGTGGCTTTTCCCGCCGCGCTCGTACTCCCCTCTCGTGACTTACTTCGAGGGCTTATGGCGGTGGTGGCATGGGGACGGTTCTTCGCTCGGGCATGGCTCTGCAGGTGCAATTCTGACTCTTTTCTGAGCTCCAAAAGGCAGCCCCCGGGTGCCCGGGGGACGGCCCGAGTAACCCAGCCCTTGTTTGGTGTTGCAGGAGAGCCTGGCAGGGCTGCAGCCGGCAGTACCGCGCCGCGTTTTGCGCCGAGTTGAAGCAGCCCCTGGCCATTGAGAAAGTCGACCACCGCCCTGTCTGTCCTCACGAGGTAGGGTGACTGGCCTACCCCCGGAAACCCTTGGCGCCCCTTTTACTATCCCGCCCCCCCGAACTTAGATGCCGCGGGCTTCCATCCTGAATCACGTTCTCAGTTGCTCAGCTAGACGGCGACCCGGAGACTGGAGCGCAACTTAGTACCGGGCAAGTAGGACCCTTTCAAAGTTCACAAAAAGGCCAGAAGTGCTAAAGGAAGGGCGTTCCCCAATACACAAATACAGGCCTCTCTCCGAATGTCCCAGAGCTGTTGCCTTAGAAACAGAGAATTCAGATTTGCACACTACTTTGCATAACTACCTTCAAGTTACTAACTTAACAGATAAGTGGACTCCATCTTCTGCTTTGTTCCTCTCCAGTGTCAGCTTCTAATTATCTGCCCCCTTCCCACTACATTTACACTAACATTATTAGTAACCACTAATAATTCGGTGTTGATTGATTCTTCACTGCATTCGCAAACCCAAAGAATGTCCCCAATTGAAGTCAGGCCAAAACCTTGCAGTCTTTTTGTTCCCTAGTACTAGTGCCTAGCACATAGTAGGTGATCAATAAACGTTTGTTAATTGAATGACCACATAATTCAATTTAATTATCGTACACCCTGCATTTCCATGTGTATATGTGCCTTGTGCCCTCCTGTAGTATACTGCAGTGATTTGGGGTGGGGTTAGTTTAGAGTTGTGGGCAGTTCCAGTTACTTTGGCCATGTCTGTTGACCACTCTGGGGACACAGTGTTATCTGGTGTGGAGAAGGGGAACCTCTGAAAAGGTGAAGCAAGTAGTCAGCCTCAGTATTGGAGACCACTGGTGAGCAGGAAGAAATGTGGCTGCAGCCCTGAAGTGTTATTTGGGTGAGCCCATGATGGCAGTCAGTCTGCTTCCTGGGATTTACATACTGACGGATCTTCATCCTTTCTTGACTCAAGGTGGAGTGACTTGGGAATGTATGTGTGCTGTGTGCTTGTCCACAACTAATGTGTCACACATAGAGTGTGTGAGGCTGAGTGAGGGCTGGGCTTTTCTGTTCTTTGTCCCAATACCACATTGTAAGCTCATGAGAGCTGGGACTATGTTAGCTTTACTCATTATCAAATCCCCACAGTCTGGAATGGTGTCAGACACATAGCAGATACTTAATAAATTGTTGAATGAATGAATTTTGCAGATAAAAATGCCTTCTTACCAATATGACCACCTCTTTACAATACTGGACATTTAAACACACACAAACAAATACATGCCATCAATTCTGCCTCTAACACTTCATTTCCTCCTGTAATTCCAGCTCCTGTTGGGATGGGTTGGTCTACTACAGTGATTCTCTAGCATGCATCAGAATCACCTGGGCTTTGCTAAAACAGATTGGGCTTGTAAAACAGAATCAGATTGTCAAAACAGATTGCCGGGCACTGTCTCCAGAGTTTCTGATTCAGTAGGCCTGGGATGGGGGCCTTAGAATTTGCATTTCTGACAAGTTCTCAGGCGATACTTTTGCTGGTGGTCTGGGGCCCACAGTTTGAGAACCACTGGCCTACAAGGTTTAGAAAACTGCTGACTGCATTGCTGCAGGTCTGCCTCAGATCTGGCACTATAGAGAAACATAGCAGCGGGGATTTAGGACGAGCCTCCAGGATTCCTGATTCCCAAAACATCTGACCATGTTACTCTTCTGCTTAAGCGGCCTTTAATGACTTCCTGCTCGTCTGAGTATGAAGACTAAGATCCTAAGTTAGGCCTACAAGCCCAAGTATGATGTGGTTCCTGTCTCTCCCTCTAGCCTCATCTCCTCCTCCTCTTTGTGCTCTAGGCTGACTGGTTTTTCTTTTGTCTTTACCACAGGGCCTTTGCACATGCCATTGCTTCAGTCTGGAACGCTTTCCCCTCTCTTTGAATAGTTAACTCTTAGCTATCCTTAGTGCAAGTGTTACTTTCCCAGGGATGTTTTTCTTGACCTCTCTATAAGGTCGAATCTCATTATGTGCTTTCATAGCACCATATATTTCTATCTTTAACACTTTATGTTGGAGTTGTAATTTAACACATATATTTTCATAATTATTTGATTAATGTCTGTCTTCCCTACTATTAGCTCCATGAAGGCAGGAATCTTTTCTGTTTTACCTCATGATTGTCCACTGGCAAAGAGTTGGCATTTAGTATAAACAGTAGTTTGGTAAAATTGAATGAACTCCATCTCCACGATTGTGTACTGCTCTACTTTGTTGCTCTATTTTCTTTGTAGGTCAGAGTTAATGTCCATTTCTGTGGAGTTAACTTTGCTGATATATTGGTCTGCCGTGGTCAGTATCAGGAAGAGCCCCATCTTCCCTTCACACCTGGTGAGTATCGGGACCAAGTGACTGCTTCAGGGAAGGCAGATACAGAGCATTTCCAGAACCATGCACTCCATCCCAGGCTCTGCCATCGGTGCTGTTTAGTGAGCTATATCAGCCTCACTGATAATGAGAATCCCTAGATTGTGAGTCCCTGAGGGCAGGTTCTGTGTCTGTCTTTCTGAACGTTACATCTGTCTGGCCCAGCTCATAGTAAATGTTCAGTATAAATACTTTAAAAATGGGTAAATGAATGAATTTTCACATGTCATGTTCACTAGAATTCTGCTTACCAAAATCATCAGTGACCCCAGTCATTCCCTTTCCTTCCTTGATGGTGCCTGCAACTTTGTTTCTTCCCTGAAGGATCAGAACATCTGTTTGCAGCTAAAACTTTAGTCTTCAGAAGCATTTCCAAAGACACCTAATAGCAAATGATTAGAAAGAAGAAAAAGAGTTTCTTTTCCATTTCTTTGGAGCTCAATGCCTGATTTTCATTAGGCCGAATCTTATTACTTTTAGATTATGAATATGTGCACAAATGACTGATTTTTTTTTTTTTGGTTGAAATTTACTTTCTGTGGTTAAATTTACTTACGGTTTACCATGTGTACAGTACCCGTACATTCAGTACACATATGTAGTATTAACGATACAGTGATTGCATAATAGCTGCTGTGTTTTGGCCTTAGGCTGTTTGGTTGTACCTCAGCAGTTGGAATCATTTCCCTCTGTTTGTATTTGTTGACGTGCTGGATAGGGTGGAAGATGTCAGACTCAGTGGAATTATCCCCCTGGCAGCTTATGTGGGAAGTGCATGATCATTAAATTCACAAATTTTGGAGGTAGAAGAGGAAAGGACAGGCAATACCAATTCATCCAACTGAACCAAGTACTATATGAATAAATATAGTTCATGCCCTTGAAGGCCTCATAGTCCAACAGAGGAGACCTGGAAGCAGATAAATACAATATGATGAATGTTGTAATTGGGGTGCCGGGTGAGCCAGAGTCCCCAGTGATCAGGGTCATAAGTACATGTGCACCTGTTAACCTCTGTGCTTTTGCACATTCTTGAACTTTCCACTGCATCACAATAAAAATGGGATCACAAAATCTTTCACATTCCTGGGCTTTGGGTGTAACATGCTGACCCCTTTGCCCTGGGGGGTAGGGTGGGTGGACACCTACCTTCTTGGCTCCAGAAAGTTAATAGAATGGCATGTTGATCAGGATTTTCTCATCTCCATTTGCTTTGCAGATGACCTAATCTTTAAACAATTTGTTTTAGGAATGGAGTTTTCTGGGATAGTATTGGAGACAGGCACAGATGTCAGCACAGTGAAAGAGGTAAATTAGTTGAAACCTAGGGAATCGATGTGTGTATAAACCCATTGCCCGTGAGTCGATTCTGACTCATAGCGACCCTATAGGACAGAGCAGAACTGCCCCATAGAGTTTCCAAGGAGCGCCTGATGGATTCAAACTGATGACCTTTTAGTTAGCAGCCATAGCTCTTAACCACTATGCCACTAGGGTTTCCATGTGTATAGCTATCAGAAATGTGCTAAGCAGAAATGTGCTAAGCATAAGAAGCAGGGTGTTGCTTCTCCTGGCCTTTGCCAGTAGACAGCAAAGGGAAACCAAGAGGGAGGGGGAATAAACTAATTCTGAATTGGGGGAAGGAAGAGATGGAAGTTCCTGGCTTCATTAAAGTTTTTATTACGAATAAAGGGCAGCGCCTCCATCTTTAGTTACTGAGAACATTGGCAATGTGCAAGTTTCAACGTCTTGTGAAAGAAATGAACATTGGGATTCTAATTCATATATCATCCTTTTCCTTCATCTATCCCATCATTGTCCAAGATGTGCTCAGATTGCCTTGGCAGTCTGGTAGGGTATTGAGAGAATGGCTGGTTTATTTACTAAACATTAATTCTGAATAGATAATTAAGGTAAACCTTCAGGAATCAGAGGTGTGGGTTTTGTTGTTGTTGTTTGTTTGTTTTCTTTATTAATTCAGAAAGAGGTGAATGGCTTTTGAACAAATGCTTAATGCTGTTTTCCCTTTAGGGGGATCGGGTTATTGGTGTGTGTGGCTTTAATGGTATGGCTGAAGAATGCATCACTGACCAGAAGGTATCCCTACCTCTCATTATCAATATTTGGAGATTATTTTCTCCTTTCTTTTCTTTCTTGAGTTTCTACCTATCCCTTCCCTTCCCCCCTCCTTTTTTCTATTAGTTTGGTCATATCTTGTTTCTCAGCCAAGCACTTCTTTCTTTCAGATGCCAAAACCTTTCTGTATATAGGTGTGACAGCCTTGCACAGAGCTTTGTTTGTGTGGAGTGGCTTAATGAAGAAAGCATTTTGTTTTCTGAGTCCTGGAGCAATTGGCTGTTTTCCATATTGGACCGTAGGTAGTTTCGGTAGAAAAACTGGTTTAGGGCATTGAACTGAATGTAATGGGCTTCTCCCCAACATGAAGCGTGTGAAAGAGAGAGCCCTGGGAAGGCAGCCAGCCTAGGTGGCCTGGTAGGGGTGTGCAGGGTGTGAATGGTGCCCCCCAGTGGGTTACAGTACACAATTTTTTTTCACAGCTTTATTGAGACACTTTTTTGTACCATTCTCCACTCCTCTTGGAGGAGAATTTTCCACTGGGCTTGGTTACTAGCATGTGTTTCCCTTTGCAAATCAGTCACTCAGTCAAGTCATACTGTTTACCTTTATGACCAGATACATGCGCCTAATCCGTAAGTCACTGTTATCTCTTTTTATAGTCACTGTGGAAGATTCCAGAAGGGGTCGCCCTCCGAGAAGCTGCTGTCCTGCCTATATCTTATGGGACTGCTGTTTTAGCCCTGGAGCATCGGGCTCGTACCCAGCCTGGGTGAGGGTTGTGTAAACGAAAGAGGGCTAGCCGGTATCCTTCTCTGATACCAGAAGTACCTGCCAGGACCTTGTTCTCTTTTCTGTCCTTCAGGTCATGTTTAGTTTGGCTGAGGAAAGGCCAAATAGAGGTATTGATCCAAGTCTGGGTTCTGGTCACTGTGGGGCCATCCTTTTGTCTGGGAGGGAATAGTAGATTGTGAACTTTGCCCACATGATTTTGGAAAATAATCTCTCTTAAACCTGACCACTCTGGAGATCACCTCATAGAAGACCTTAAAGTTTAGAAAGTTGCTTTGATAAAAGTCACTTTGCTCTGGTTTTAATGGGAGGCCTATGGTATTTGTTTCTCTGTGAGGCTTAGATGGATATGCCCGACTTGAGTATTTCAAACTCAGAGGGGCTGGAATTTTCCACTTTTCCTGAAGCATACATACTGCCTCTTGTTCTTAGTGAGCCTCAGGATTGCTCCAGAGAGATGGGTTTAGTTGAGCAGTGGCCACCACCTTCTAAAATCCAGCAGTGTTTACTACGAGAATGGTTTTAGGACAGAATTTCTGAGGCAGAAATTGGAGTGGTAGTTCAAAGGAACAGTTACACTAACACAAGGGAAAGGCTGCTTAGCTTAAGGAATGACTTTTCCTGGGAAGTCTTAAAAAACTGGACCAAATTAGCACTGATCTAGAAGTCTCGTACGTAACCCAGCCCTAATGCTGAAGAACAGATGTACGTGAAGGGTTGAGTGAAGTGACTGTAGAGTTCTCGCTTTAGAGTGTGCTAGCTCTGAAATGTTCATGAAATCACATTACGGGATGATTTGTGAAGGCTTTTGAAGTGACAGTCGTCTTTCTCTGGCACAGGGAAACCGTCTTAGTGACAGCAGCAGCTGGAGCCACAGGCCTTGCAATGATAGACGTGGCAACAAATGTTCTTCAGGCCAAGGTATTTGCATGCTAAATTCTCCATTTAAAAAACCACACCCCCCCAGTTTTCAAACATGGGATATAGTCATTCATTTATTCAAAAACAGGTACAGGCACGGGGGACATAAAGTAATCTAGAGTATGGTCTTGCCATCTACAGTAAAACCTGCTAAAGCTGGGACCTGTGTAGGCAGAAACCTGTCAGAGAAGAAAAACTCATATATATTCCACTAATAGAGAAGATAGAAAAGTGGTAAGACTGCACCTTGTTGAAGGCGGAAAACTTGTGAGACCCAGAAAAACAAGACAGTCCCATTGAGTTCTGGCTCTCACAGGTTTCACTGTATTTGCCTACAGACTAGTGAGGGGAACCTAGAAAGTAGAACGCTCATTCTTCCAGTTACTAGAATCTGGCAAGATCCAACTCACTTCATAGGCATAGCAGATGCTGTTCCCTGTACCTGTAATGTTCTGAACTGTCTCTCCCTGTGCTTCATGTTTAAAATCAATCTCATAGCACCTTATATTTCTCTTTCATAGCATACATCTCAGTCTGTGCTTACTCCTCTGCTTATGTCATTATTGGATTGATGTCTCCCTCCTACTAGTCCCCATGAAGGCAGGGGAAGTGCCTTTTTGGCTCATTGTTGTGGTCCTGCCACCTAACACGGTGCCTGCAACATGGTAGGCACTCAATAACGCTTTCTTGAATGAATGAAAGAAAGACCCATGTCTCTGCAGGAGTAGGCTGTGGGTGTCAGGCTGTGGGTGTCAGGCTGTGGATGTCAGGCTGTGGATGTCAAAGAAAGGACTTCTTGAAGAAGGTAGACATTTAAGCTGACTTTGAAAGGATTGGTAGCAGTAAAATAGCAGAAGAATGGAGGTAAAGATCATTTTTAGTGGTGGGAAGACATATTAGAAGACAGAAAAATGTGAACTAGCATGATGCATTCAGGGAATTGTGAATAGCATATCTGGAGCGAAGGACCTGTGAGAGGAATGGTGGATAGTGATTCCAGAGAGGTGATGAAGGGCCTTGTGTAGACCTGAAGAGTTTGAACATTTATTGGAAGCTATAAGAAGCAATTGAAGATTTTAAGCAGGGAAGTGCCATGATCATCTTTGCATTTTGCACACTTCGCTTTGAGTGGGGATGAGGGATAGGGGCAAGATTGGGGTAGTCTGGGGACAGTAGGGCAGATTCTTGGAGCAGTCCTGGTCAGAGATGATGATACCTGAAACAAAGCAGTGGAGGTGATGGATTGAGACATACTAAGGTGGAAGAAAATACAGAATTTGGTGCTTGGAGAATATCCTAATATACTTAAAGGAACAAGGACTTTGGAGTTAGCCTAGGTTCAAAATCTAGCTCTGCCTCAGCTTAATAGCATCAGTTTTCTCATTGTAAAGTAACACTTTCCTTATAGGGTTGTGGGGATATTGAGATTACATGTGCGGTGTGCCTATTAGAGGGCATAGCATGTTGGTAAGAATCTCTTAATAAAAAAATTATGCTTTTTATGCAAATGGTTTGTGCTCAGCTACTGCCCAAAAGGTTGGTGGTTTGAATCCACCCAGATGTGCTGTGGAACTACTTCTGTAAGATCACAGACATTGAAAACCCTACGGGGCAGTTTTATTCTGATGCAAATGGGGTCACCATGAGTTGGAACCAACTCGATGGCAATGGATTTTTATTATTATTACGCATTGAGTGTGAAAGAGCAATCTAGGTTAACTGGTGGATTTGCCAGTTCTCAAGCGGTTGAGAACACAGGAAGCAATGCTGAGTTCAGTTTTGGGTGTGTTGAGCCTGAGGTTCCTGTGGAACATTCTGTTGGGGTATCAATAAGGTTGGAGATAATTGGATCAGTCTGGAATTTCTTTAGGTGGCATCCCTCATTTCTCACATTAAGTTCCTTTTGGGAAAGACATGAGAATTCTGAAGGTGGCTCCTCATGGAATATTAACACATTTCATGTTAAAAGGAAGGACTTTTAGCCCCTCTCTTATAGGGGAGACCATAATTAGTCTCATTGTCTAGAACCATTGACTAACATTTCTAGGAAGATATAAATTGTACCCTTCTTTGTTTTAAATAATTGTAAGAAGATAAGAAGAGATAAAATTCAGATTTTGAAATTAATCCAAGCTGTATTTCTCTAGCAACAAAAACGGTTTTAAACAAAAGAAAAAAAAAAATCAAAGTAATGTTACCATGCCACCTACTTGGAACAGGTCATTTTGATAACACCTTCCATCTACAGATTTCATATTGCTTTCAAAGTGCTTCCACAGCAATTATCTTAGACTTGATCCTCACAGCACTCCCGAGAGGTGGGTAAAGTAAGTGTTTATTATCCCTATTTCACAGATAAAGAAAGTGAGGCACCGAGAGAGAAAATGGTTTGCCTTAGGTCTCCCTGGGACCTAGTCGGAATCCTGGGATGGGAATGAGGTGCCTGACCCTAGTCTGGCATCTGCCCACTGTGGCACTGTGTGCTAATAGCCTTCTCAGTGAACTGCAGCTATTTGAGAATTCAACCAGTGAATTATTTGAGGGTAGCTTTCAGTTTCAAATAGTTACGGATGAGTGCGGAATCTTTTAAGGGCACTGATGTTCTTGGGAGCCCTGGTGGCGCAGTGGTTAAAGCACTGGGCTGCTAACTGAAAGGTTGGCGGTTCGAACCCACCAGCCTCTCTTTGGAAACCCTATGAAGCAGTTCTACTGTGTCACGTGGGGTTGCTATGAGTTAAAAATCGACTGGACGACACAACAACAGTGCTTTAGGCTGCTTAGTTGGCACAAATGATTAAGTGCTCAGCCACTAACTGAAAGGTTGGTAGTTAGAGTCCACCCAAAGGTACCTTGGAAGAAAGACCTGGCAATCTACTTCCAAAGGTCCCACAGCCATTGAAAACCCTACTCTGACTCACATGGGGATGCCCTGAGTTTTGGAATTCACTCGATGGCAACTGGTTTGGTTTTTTCGTTTTAGGCAGTTTGTTAGCGTTCAGAATTTCTCTGGAGACTTCCAAGCCCCAGGCTGCCCCACAGTATAGCCCACAGCCACCTGTGCTGTCTGTGCCAGCCTGCAGATATGGCTTTCCCCCAGGGTGATGGAGTGAAACAGCATGGGTTTTGGAGTCAGGCAGCACTGGGTTTGAACTAATAATGTTCTACAACATACTATCTGGATGAGCCTGGGTTAATTATTTAACTTCTTTTGAGTCTGTGTCTCTATCTATAGAATGGGAGTAATTATACCTCCCCCATAATGCTCTCATGAAGGTTAAATACAATAAATGATTGCATATGTGTAATAATTGCTTCAATTTAGCTAACACTTTGTTTTCCAAATGCTTTATGTACAGTATTCCATTTACCTCTTAAGTCTTATTTTACAGATCAGGGAACTCAAGCCTAGAGAAGCTGAGAGGCAGTATAGAGGTTAAAAACGTGTACTCTGGAGATGGATTACCTGGGTTTGGATCCCAGCTCTGCCTCTCATTAGCTGTGTGACCTTGGACAAGTTACTTAACCTCAGTTGCCTCACTTTCTTCATCTATATAGTGGGGATGATAATAGTGTCTTTTTCATTGGGTTATTATGATTAAATGAGTTATGAATGTACGTAAAACACTTAGTATAGTGCCTGGCACAGAGTAAGCACTATATACGTGTCAGTTATCATAATGGTTTTCTAGGGCTGTTGTAACAAAGTACCACCAACTAGGCAGCTTAAAACAATAGAAATTTCTCCTCTCATAGTTATCAAGGTGTCTGCAGAGCCATATTCTTTCTGAGGGCTCTAGGGGAAGCTCCTCCCTTACCTCTTGCAGCTTCTGGTGGTTCCTGGCAACGGTTGGCGTTCCTTTGCTCATAGATGCACCACGCCAGTCTCTGCATCTGTCTTCCCATGGTCGTCTTCTTTCTTTGTTTGCATCTCTGTATCTCTTCTCCTCTTTCATAAGGACACTGGTCATACTGGAAATCCTGCCCCACTCCAGTATGACTTCACATTAACTAATTACATCTACTAAGGCCTTTTTACCACATAAGGTCACGTTCACAGGTACCGGGAGTTAGGACTTCAGCATATCTTTTTTGGGGGCACAATTCAATGCAGGATAGTTATTATTAAGTAATTTGCATAAGGTAACTCAGCTAATAAGTGACAGGGCCAGGATTTGAATTCATGTCTGTCCTACTTCAATGTCTTTCTGTTGTATCCTGTTTTACTATCTGGGAAGCCTTTCCTGATCTTTCCTGTCCTAGATCTAGGTTGGGTCCCTCTCTTTTATGCTTCTGGGGCCCTCTCTGCTTCCCCCGCCACACTGCTGTATCTTGCTTTCTTCTTTTTTAATTTATTTTGTTGTTGTTGTTGGAAATACACACAGCAGAACATACACCAATCGAGCAGTTTCCGCGCGTACAATTCAGTGACATCGATTACATTCTTCGAGTTGTGTAACCGTTCTCACCCTCCTTTTCTGAGTTGTTCCTGCCCCATGAACATAAATTCACTGCCCCCTAAGGTTCCTGTCTAATCTTTCAAGTCACTGTTGTCAGTTGGATCCCATATAGATAATTCTGAAAAGAGCATAGCGCTCAAGACAGACATATTTTTTACGAGTTAAGCTAAACTATTGTTTGGTTTTAAGAAGACTTCAGGGGATATTTTTGGTTTAAGGTTTAAAGATTATCTCAGGACAATAGTTTCAGGGGTTCATCCAACTTTCATGGCTCCAGGAAGTCTGGAGTCCATGAGAATTTGAAATTCTGTTTTGCATTTCTCCTCTTTTGATCAGGATTCTTCTATAGAATCCTGTTCTGATGGCAAAGGAGGCAGTTGTTCATGGAGGCAGTTAACCACACGTTCCATAACCTCCTATTCCTGATTCTCCTTCTTCTTCTGTTGCTGCAGGTGAGTAGAGACCAATTGTTGTGCCTTGGATGGCTGCTGGCAAGCTTTTAAGACCCCAGACACTACTCAGTGAACTAGAAGGTAGAATGGAAGCCCTAAACAAGTTATTAGATCAGTTAACTGGGATGTCCTATGAAACCATAACCCTAAGCCTCCAAACCAAGAAACCAAATCCCATGAGGATTTTGGTCGTACATAAGCAGCCTCAGCAGCTACTGTCTCTCTCTGTTTTTGTTGTTGTAAATATGTCTGTCACACAACTTTTGCCAGTTGAACTTTTTACAGGTGTACAGCTCATTGACAGCAGTTGGAATATTTGGCTGTGCAACCCTGCTCTTAATCAATGTGATGTTTTCATCATGGTTACCTCCCTTTTCCCCTCTCCCCCATTCCTGGTAACTGCTAATAAACTTGTTCTCTATACATTTGCCTTTTCTTGCCTATTTATGTAAGTGCAGTTATACAATATTTGTCCTTTTGTGATTGGCTTATTTCACTTAGCATGTCTTCCAGCTCTATCCATGTTGTAGCATGTTTTAAGACTTCATTTCGCCTACTGGCTGAGTAGTATTCCATTGTATGTATGGCATCTTGCTTTCTTGACTCTAAGCTTGGTATCTAGCTTGTATCCTTACTGCTTGACTCATAGTAGGTGCTCAACAAATGGTGGTTTTAATTTGTATTTGGAGAAGAGTTTGTGAGCATCTCCTGAACCATCTCCTAGCTTGACTTACTAGGGTTCTAGGATTCTTAGGAATGTGGACACCATGGCCAGTTGGGCATGGAGGGGTCAGTAAGATGGTGTTATGCGTGGGGCCTGATGTGTGGGATCAAGGCTGATGCCAGGGCAGCCTGATCACATTGGTTTCCTCAAGTAGCACTCCTTGACTGGAGACTGAGTTGGGTTACATGAGCCCTCTTGGTATGTCCTGGACCATCAGAAGCATTGTGTTCTTTATGCAGGTAATAGCTGCAGCCGGAAATGAGCAGAAGTGCAAGCTGGCAATGCAGAGGGGTGCGCAGTCCAGCGTGAACTACAGTCAGGGCAGCCTGAAGGAGGCAGTGAGGAAGCTGGTGGGCAGTGGTGGGGTGAACGTGGTCATCGACACCGTGGGAGGAGATGTCTTCCTGGAGGCTCTCCGCAGGTACATGAAGTGGTCTGTTTGGTGTGGGCTAGGGCTGGAGCTCCACCAAAACCTGTCAGAATCTCTGTCCTCCTCCTGGTCTTGCTTCTGTCTTGCCTTTGCTGCTTCTCCTGTAGGCATTGGCATCCACGAGAACAGCTGAGTGGGTGAGTGAAAAGGAACAGAAGCAGAGGGAAAATCAGGAAAAGCTTAATTTAAATATAGCAAAAACAAGATACCCAACTGGAAAATATCCAAAAAACGACTACAGATATTCAAATACTCAGAAATTATACATGTGCTAAATTCAGCTCTGGCAGCCCCCACTAACTATATACACGGATGTGGAGAATTCTGGAGCTCACCGTTCAGATGTTAGAATTAACGGGATGGCCATTGCCCTTTCCCCAGGCACCATGTGCACCATGGTGCAGGCTCTGCTGATCTTAACTGGTTTCTGAAACAGTCAGCAGTGTAGGTGTTTCCTTGATTGGTTTTATTGAAGAAAAATCACCAGAGACTTAGTGGGACTGTTGTCTCACACCAGTTCTCATTTCTGTTTTCAGTCCTGGACTCCGGAAGGCTCTGATAATATTAGTTTTAGTTCTGAGGGTACCCTGGCAGGCACCATTTTGTTTGTGGTTTATCTCAGTTTGAAGTTGAAGAAACAGAAGCAGAGAGGGCAGCTTACCCACAGAAGGGATCCAGTTGGCTCTGTAGCCCCTTTACTAAGAGGCAGGCAGTATACACGTTTGATGACCATTGCACTGTGCCGACACTGTGCTTAACTGAAGAAACAGAGGGAGGAGTGTATAGGCTAAATGGAGAGCTGGGACAGAGAGCTGGTGAAACTCACCGTTCTCTCGCCTTCCCTTGGGTTTCTGGATAATCGTGTTTTGACAACAGTTTCTTATTTCCCTTCTAAAGAAAAAGAGCAAAAAGCAACCAAACAAGCAAATGTTTTATGTCAAAAATGTCTGTTAAATTTATTTTCATAACTCATTGCTTAAGAAACCAAAAACCAAACCAGTTGCTGTGGAGTTTACTCTGACTCATAGTGACCCCATTTGTGTCAGAGTAGAACTGTGCTCCATAGGGTTTTCAATGGCAGTGATATTTTAGAAGACAGTCACCAGGCCTTTCTTCTGAGGCACTTCTGCTTAGCACACTCTGTATGGTACTTCTCATAATGAGATCTAGAAAAGTTGTGAATTTGTTAAATTATCCAGAATACTCTAGAGAAGCTCATAACTTAAAGAAGTCTGACATTAAAATGTTTAATTCTTATTCCTGCTTCCTAAGTTCAGAATCTTCAAACTGAGTTGTCTTAAAGTATGGCAAATGGAGTGACACTTGTTTACACCCAGTTTCCTTCCACAAAGTGTCTTAGGTGGTTAAATACACAGCCTTGATTGTAAAGTGGGTCCCCCTGTAAAACTGGCTAGTTGCTTTGTTCCCTCATGCTTTCCTTATGGCTTATTTTTATATTTTCCTACTCATGAACCCGAAGTGCTAAAGGATGGTTCACACCTGCCAGTTTGTAAGGTCAAGGGGAGTTTACAGCTGTGGGTTTAATGTACATTGCATTTTTAAAATTTTAATTGTGGTGAATATATATGTAACAAAACATTTGCCATTTCAGCATTTTTTGCATGTACAGTTCAGTGACATTAATTGTGTTTATCTTATTGTTTAATCATTTCCATTATCCATTTCCAAATGTTTCTGTCACCTTTAACTGAAGCTGAGTGTCCCCTAAGCAATAAATCTCCTTTTCTCTCTCCCTTCCAGCCAACCCTGGTAACCACTAATGAACTTAGGTCTCTATACACTTGCCTATTCTTGTTATTTCATGTAAGTGGGATCATACAATATTTGTTCCTTTGTGACTGACTTATTTCCCTCAGCATAATGTTCTCAAGGTTCATTGTGTTGTAGCATGTATTTGGACTTCATTTTTCTTCATGGCTGACTAATATTCCATTATATGCTTGTACCATATTTTGTTTATCTAGTCATCTCTTGTGCATTGTTTTTTATAATTACTTTTCCTCTTTCTCCTCAGCCTGGCCTGGGAGGGCAGGATTGTGGTGGTGGGGTTTGCTGGAGGAACCATTGCTTCTGTGCCAGCCAACGTTCTACTCCTGAAGAGTATCTCTGCCACGGGGATGTCCTGGGGCCAGTACAAAAACAAGAACTTCTCCCTCTTCTCCAGTATCCTGTCCTCGGTGCTTCGGTACTGCCAGCAAGGGCGCATCCAGCCTTACATTGGAGCGGAGTTTAAGCTGGAGGAGGTAAGATGCTCTTAAGGATTGTAGATGTAGATGAGGCCAGGAAGTAATCTGTATTAAGCTACTGGATAGCTTATCTCTGAATATTAGAAATTCTCCTTTTATGGAATGAGAAGATGAAAATGCAATACAGAATAGTGGAGCTTCACAGGCTATAGGGTATAGGATTTCTCCCAGTCTTCTGGGTTGTATGGGTGTATGTCCAGGCCGAGTTAGTCACCTGTGAAACTGAATCTGCAAAGGCCCTCAAGGAGCTGAATTTTGAGGACTCTGTACATCACTGCCTCTCAAACAGAAGGAATTTATGATACTTTAGAAAATAATTTACACGTGTTGATGTGAACCCTGAACTCCACCACATACAAGCCTGAGAAGGAAACGCTTAACTTGACCTTTGATTTGTAAATACAGACACTTTAAAGTACAAGCAGTTGATCTAAGCTGAGGTTCTGTTGAACAGAATATGAAATCTTGCCCAGCATCATAAGACTATAATTCATCCATTAGTCACTGTAGTTAATTTTGTTGGCTCTTCACTCTCTCTTTTCATTCCCCCACAGTCCCATTAATGTGCCTTAAACGTCCTTCAAAGTGTAGTCGTGTGCATGCATGTGCAATGTCGTTGTAAATGCCAATCTGTTAGGCATTCACTGTGGGGCTTTCCTTTTTTGGCTTAATTTATTTTAATGTTTAAAAACTGTTTTGGTAACTCTAGTCAGCCATAGATGGAAGAGAGGCTTTGTTCAAATGCACATTAGAGGAGTCCCAGCTGTCAGTGCCAGACTTCATTGCTTCCTGGCCTTCCATGTTTATGGTTTGTTTTTTTCCTGTGATGAGGCACATTCTTTTCAAACATAGTTTACTTTCTTCTTATCTTTTTAACACGTCAGGAAGGAAGCATTCCATGGTGTCTCAGTTAGTTAGCTAGTGCTGCTATAACAGAAATTTCACAGATGGGTAGAACAGAAATTTATTTTCTCACAGTTTAGGAGGCTAAAAGTCTGAATTTAGGGTACCAGCTCTAGGGGAAGACTCTCTCTCTGTGTGTGCTCTGGGGGAAAATCTTTGTCTTTTTCAAGTTCTGTTCTCAGTACCTTGGCCATATCCAAGTGGTATCTGTCTTTATTTGTGCTTACATCTCTCTGGGTCTAATCTACTCTTTTTGTATCTCAGAAGTCATTAGGTTTAAGACACACCCGACACTGATATGGCCTTTTAACATAACAAAAAATTAATACCAAATACGATTACATCCACAGGTATAGGGGTTAGGATTTCAGCACGTATTTTAGTGGATATAGTTCAATCCATAACACATAGTAAGTGGAAAACTTGACTGGCCAAAAGACAACAGGTTGGATTCCAGTTGCAGCTTTGCCCCTCTAGCCCTGTGACTGTATGGAAGCCCCTCACTGGTTCTGACCTTCAGTTTCCACCTCTCTAAAAGCAAGGGGCAGGACTGTATCCGTGGCTTTCAGATTGGGCTTCAGGAGCCACGGCAGGGATGTGGGGTGTGCAGGTGTAGGCTTGAGCTGCCTGGGCTCTGGGACTCCATCTCTGCTTGGGCCTGAGCAGCTGTACGTTTTTACTTTTATGTGCATACTTTTAGGATTTCTGTTCCGAAAGGGTTTTGTGGCTTAAAAATTTGAAAACCACCAGTCTACATAATCTCTGAGTCTGCTTCTGTTTTTTGGCTTTTATCAAGTGGCTTCTAGATGTTTCCTTTACCTGAGGCTCATGTCTACCTGTTGACAGAGGATAAGAATAATTAGGCAGCACGGGGATGGAAACAAGTGTTAGTTTGACCTGTTTCTTCTCTCCATTGACGTTTTTTAGGTGTTGCTCAGGCATGAAACAAAGCCAGAGGCGGATTATTGTTTCAGTTACTCACGTTGAAGTTCCCTCTCCTCTTAAACATGAATTAAATATATAATTACTGTAAACTTCCTGTCAGCTTCCATTCGTTCTTCTCCCTTCCAGTGAGGGCTCTTCACCAGGATTTTTATAGTTCTTCCCACTGCTGACCTGGTGTTATCGGGTGGCTCTCTGAGGCCATGCTCCCTAAGACGTCTCAAGCATCTCATTCACACACTATCTCATTTACTTTTTCTTCTCTATTTCTTTCAGTGTGTAAACTACTAGGGGAATAATAATAATGGCAGCTCAGATACATTAGGTGCTTATTATGGGTCAAAAACTGTGCTAAACACTTTATATGCGTTTTTTTCCGTTAATGTTCACACCAACCCTTTGAGGTAGGAACTACTTTTATCACATTTTATAGATAAAGAAATCAGGATTGGTAGAGGCTAAGAAAGATTGGCAGTTCGAACCCACCCAGTGGCTCTGTGGGAGAAAGATCTGGTAATCTGTTTCCATAAAGATCACAGCCTAGGATACCCTATAGGGCAGTTCTACTCTGTCCCATGGGGTCGATATGAGTTGGATCAACTCGATGGCACCCAACAACAACAGAAGATAAGAAACCTGCCCAGTAGTCAGTGACAGAGCTGGGGTCTAGTCTACGCTGGTCTGACCCCAGAATCTAGGCTCCCTATAGCTACACCAAACTCTCTCCTCAAACAAACCAGGAAGTTGCTTCTTAGAAACCTTATTCTATAGTATGAAATTTATCCATCCATGATGGAATTATCTAGGCGGAATAACTATCTTAGTGTTAAAAAGAGCAGGAATCTTGTATTTCCTAAGCAGTACCAGAATTTATATATTTTGTTCTTTTAAAATGAAGATGGCTAAATGAGTGTATGATTAATTCCACTTAACTTTAAAGTCTTTGTAATATTTCTCATGTAAATTAGTTGACGTATTAGAAAAATCTTCATCAGAACCTGTTTGGATTTGGAAAATGACTACTGTACTTTATATATAGTACTAAAGATACGGATTACCTAGCTTGTATTTTCTCCTGAATGCGTGAACTCAGGTAAAGACAAATTCCTTATAGATTTGGCCTTGGTAGTTGATATTAATATAACAAGATGCTTTACATCATAGCTTTTTTTAGTAGGCATAGGGTGTGAACTTCCACAGCAGCCTGTGCCTGGGTAGTATAAATGGTTAACACACTTGGCTGCTAACTAAAGTTAGAGGCTCAAGTCCGCCCAGAGGGACCATGATCTACTTCCAAAAAATCAGCCATTGAAAATCCTATGGAGCATAGTTCTTCTGTGACGTACAGAGTGTTGGCCATGAGTGAGGGTCAACTCCATAGCAATTGTTTGTTTTTTTTACTTTTAATAACTTTGATGCCTGTCTTTCCCATAGACCGTAAGCTCCATGTAGGCAGGGGCTATGTACTGTCTGGACCTCTGTATCTCCAGTACCTAGCAGTGTGCCACGCTTCAGCACACACTCACTTACCTGTTGAATGACTGATTGAGAAGATGATATGATGATTAAGAGGATAGGATTCTGGGGTCAGACTACCAAGTGTTCAGATCCTGGCCTCACCACTTACCTGGCTATGGGCAAAATATTTACATCTTCGTGCCTTGCTTCTTCATCTGTAATGGGGGCAACAATATAGCCTCCCTCACAGGGTGCTTATGAAGATTGAATAAGATAGTCCATGTAAAGGCACATGGTAAACACAGTAAAAATTTTAAAGCATAATATACAGCCATTTATAAAATACAGAGTTGAGACTTTTCAGTTCCCCTGAACTCTAACACTTGATTTGGCATTTCAGAGTGCAGGATTAAAGAGGCAATTTTCAGGTTTTGAATTTTAATTAGAACTTATTATTTTCATAAGGGTCGTAACTGCGCCCTGGTAGGAGGATCATGCACTGGTGCCATGATCTGTTCAGAGCATGGTGTTTTTCAGTTCTGCAGAGTCTGTTTTCTGTGTGGAGCTGCCCACATACGTCTTGACCGGATGCAGTACTTAAACCTCACAGATCTGAACTTGTTTACTATAAAAGATCAGGCGAGATCACAACGTGAACAGATCTAATGGATAGAAATTTTTGCTTGCATTTTCCTGACTGTATCTGTGGCCTAGTCTTAGAAATTAAACTCCACTTTTAGTTTAGACAATATGTTAACTTTAGCCCATGGTTCTACATCTGGTTTATGGGCTTCCCCATGTTTGCTGTCTCTACCTGCCCTAAGCCTTGGCCACTTGTCATGCTTCTCTAGTGACGGTGCATGTCCTGCAGTCACAGACCACTGTGGCTGTGGCATGTCTAACACTGTGGATGATCTCACGCATTCCTGAGGGGGAGGGCTGAGCTTAGGCCAGGCCTCCATCGTGCTCATCAGGGACCTGTCGGAGCCTCTGGCTTCCTCAGAACTGTCTGGAGGGGCTGGGCACCACAGTCCTGAAGTGTGAGGAGTTCACCCCATGGGGAAGGCTTTGACAAATGAAAGACAAGAGAAATTGCTCATCCTTTCTCTTCCTGATGGACTGTTTTGACAGGCAGTGGTTGAACAAGAACCAGCTGTATGCCCCCTGAAACTGTGACCAGTTCAGCATCAGTTATCTACCACCTCGTAGTTCCGCTCTCTCCTTCCCTGATTTGCTTCACTTTTCCCCTCACTCTTCTTTCTCTGGGACAGCAACCGTCACTGAGCATTAGGACATAAGTGTTGATTAGGCTCTGTTTTTTAACGAACCCAGGCTAAGTTCACTTAACTTAGAAATTTTATTTGTTTTTTTTTTGTGTTTAGTAATACATTAACTGGTTTTTTTTTTTTTTTTGTAAAGTCAGGTTTATTGAGGTGTAACATAGACAGTAACTGTCATCCTTTTTAGATATACAGTTCTCTGAGTTTTGACATATACAGTCATGTAACCATCCCACAACAGTCAAGATACAGGATATCTCCATCACTCCAGAAAGTTCCCTTGTGTTTCTTTATAGTCAATCCTCATCTCCCACCCACCAGCCCCTAGCAGTCACCAGTCTGTTTTGTCCTTATTGTTTTGCCTTTTTCAGAATGTGATGTAAATGACATGCAGTATATAGCTTTTTGAGTCTG